ACCTAGCAGTTCGAAAGCACCCCCGGGTGCAAGTAGATAAATAGGGACCGCTTACTGGCGGGAAGGTAAACGGCGTTTCCGTGTGCGGCTCTGGCTTGCCAGATGCAGCTTTGTCACGCTGGCCACGTGACCCGGAAGTGTCTCCGGACAGCGCTGGCCCCTGGCCTCTTAAGTGAGATGGGCGCACAACCCCAGAGTCTGTCAAGACTGGCCCGTACGGGCAGGGGTACCTTTACCTTTACCTTTACAGTCATCCATCCTTTCTTCAGATGTCTTACTTATTTTGCTACATGTACACCTCCCTCACCATACCATCACCTCAATTTCATGTGCTTATTCTAACGGCCGTTGTGAAGTGTGAAATTACTCTTAACCTTGCTTTACAAAAGAGATACCGAAGCACAGAAAACAAGCAATAGGGTTATGGTAGGATCAGAAGTGGGGATTATGTCAACCCAAGGATTGGGCACCAGCCACCAATATTTCCTCTCTCCCCCTTCAGTAATAATAGTCATTGTCTTCCCTACAAACTTAAAATTGGTGTTAAATGTGCTGCATCTACCAGAAAACATCGCCCAAGAAAATCAATGCTAAAACTGGCTGTGAAAAGGATTGCTTGAATCACAGAATAAAGCAGCAATTCAATGTTATTTTGTCTTTGACATTTTATAATGGAAGTTTTAAAAGTGTGGGGGCGCACAGAGAAATGCGTTGAAGGCATTCTATATTTCTTGTTCTGAGGGTACTAAAGAGACAAGGATTGGGTTTACATAAGGAACACATAGCATGAGTCGCTAATGTGAAGTGTCAATCCATTTCCCCTTTTGCACCTTGTTCCATCACACTTCCCTGAGAGGGAGCAGTTTTGTGTGGAGAATAGAGCAGTAAGAACATACAATTTGAGTGTTTGCTCCTGAAGGGAAAGAGGTTTTCCAGATATATTTGTAAGATTAATGGTCCTCCTCCACTCCCTCTGCTGCTGCAATGCCTTCAATAATTGGGCAGGAGGGTGGGTGAGAAAGTATTTTCCATCCTGGGGATTCTTGTAGTCTTGCCTTTTTCCTATGTTCCTGCGGTACCTGCGTCAACCTGCTGATATTTGAAACCTACTAGCATTTTATTATGGTTTTTTAAAAATGACAATCTGTACAAGAGAGCCTTTATCTGTGATTGATGTTTCTGGATACTACTGTAATGGACAGGAAAACAACAGCAACAATTTATAAAGGGGGACTACGGTATATTGAAGTTACTTCCATTGCTACATACCTATGAACATCCTATTGCCCCAATAATTCTCCATTAGAACCACAAGCCTGTACTTAAAATGAGCCACACAAGAATTACTGACAAGCACTCAAGCTAGCTCAATAAACAGCAAACCAAGTCATTTTCTTCAGAGGGGATTGACCAGTGAGAAGAGCACAAATCTACACTGTGACATGACAGGAACCTATCCTAACAAGCAGCCATCTTCTGCCCAGCTAATTACAGTGGTACTTCCTGTTATGAACTTAATCTGTTCTGGAGGCCTGAAACCGTTCTTAACATGAGACGCACTTTCGCTAATGGGGACTCCCGCTGTTGCCGTGTGACTTCCGCTCGCATTCTGGGGCAAAGTTTGCTACCAGGAGACCTACCAGGAGACCTACTTCTGAGTTTGTTACCTGAAGCGTTCGTAAGGAGGATGGTACATAACTGGGGTTCCACTGTACAGAGTTTGGAAGAAACAGCACAGCTCTTTTTCTCCCTCCCACTTAGCACTAGGGTTGCTTGCAACTTGCCTACAGAAATGGCTGGCCAAGGTGTCCATGAGTTTTCAGAATATGCACCCTGCTTGTAACAATGTTTCTGGCAGGAAGCCTACCCAGACTGGATTAATGAAGAGGAGGTGCTTCTTTAAAATATGACAAAACCCAGAACTGGAGCCCTACTCATGATCAACCCTGGCTGCATGAGCTGATCCTTGACATATTTTGGCAAAATAAAAATCGACAAGATGTGCAAGTGTTGTTGTTTGACAGATCGAGCCTCAGGATAATTTTAGATGCCTGCTGAAAATATCCCGAGTTAGGTGGTGGCACGCCTGTAGCGCCATTGTAGACAGGCATGTAAAAAGCTCCCATAATGCACTAGAGTTAGACAGGAGGAGAAAAGTGCCAAACGAAAAAAGACCTTTCCGATGTCAAGTTTCTAATGTCTAATTTAGACCCACCCCAGAGTGCTGCAAATATCTTCAAAGCGGTGCATCTTTTGTGTCCTGCCAAACTTATGTCATATGAAAATGCAGTTCTACTGATGGTTTACCTTTGTTCCCTGCATTTCCTCCCTTCATTAACAGGAATGCTCAGCCATTACCCATTTTTATGTCAAGAAACCCCAATCTAATTGTTTTAAACCAAAGCCTCAAATTCTTATTAAGGTTATTTATAAGTCTCTCACATAGCAGATCTATCAAGTGTTTGAACTAATAAGAAAAAAGGCTGTTTATACAACAGCCTCTTTCAATCCCCACTTCTTTATCCTGGGTACATGTATATGACATGGCAATCTCTACTTTTATTCCCTGGAGGCAAAAGTCTAATATTATTGGCACGGGTTGTGGGTTAAGCATGGTACAAATGAAAACAAAGCATCGTGCACGGGTAAAATTAGTACGTGCTTGTTAGAAAAGAGAATATGTTTCTCTAGAAAAAGAAGACCTGCAAGTTCAATTAAATAGCCATTTGCACAGCCAGGGAAGTCAATTGCTTCTTAATTGAATCATTTTCCCCACCCATATTTTTCTGATAAATTCTCTTCCTAAGCAGACCTTTTAATTTAATGCGGCATTTGAAGTATTTTGAGTGCTTGTCTAAGGGAGTAATACACTCTCCGGTAAACCTATTTATAGGCAAGACTCAACATAAACCATCCTGCCCAAAGTAATTTACCCAATATATAGCATTTATTCATGAACACTATCATTCTTTTAAGAGGAATAAAAATCTTTTAAATACTGCAAAATCCATTTAGAAGGGCAAGTTACAGAGCAAGTTTTTTATTTAAAAAAGAAAAACCTTCTATATACATGCCCTGATCCAAATGAATGCCCATGGAGTCCTGTTTTTAGAATCTAAAATATCACTAGTCAGCTGTTAGTCATGGAAAGTGGAATGGGGCGGGGGATAGAAGCCTCCCGAACAGCCAATGATCAGGGTTGTAGGTAAAAAAACATTAAAAGTGGACTCCATGTGTACAACTCGGGCTGTTAGAATGGAGAAGGCAACTGTGCCACATGGCTCTTCATCCAGTTAATACAGTGGTGCCTCGCAAGACGAAATTAATTCGTTCCGCAAGTCTCTTCGTCTTGCGAGTTTTTCGTCTTGTGATGCACGGTTTCCCATAGGAATGCATTGAAAATCAATTAATGCGTTCCTATGGAAACCGCCTTCAGACCAGGTCCGGGGACAGTCTGTCCCCCGACCTCTTCTGAAGGCTGGGGGTGGGGGGACAAGGGCTTTTCTTCCCACCCCCAGCATTTTAAAAAACCCCGGGACAGCGGAGGACTTCTCCGCTGTCCGGGGCGATCTTAAAATGCTGGCGGGCGGCATTTTAAAATCGCCCCGGGACAGCAGAGGACTTCTCCGCTGTCCGGGGCGATTTAAAAGCCCCTGGGAAGGCAGGCAGGGGGGAACAAAGACTTTTGGCCCCCCGCCGTCCTTCAGAAGGTGTTCCTGCCCCGCCGCCCGGCTTCGGAGGAGCCTTCCGAAGCCGGGCGGCGGCGGGAGGTGTTCCCGCCCCGCCGCCCGGCTTTGGAGCATCATTCCGAAGCCAGGCGGCGGGAGGAGGTGTTCCCGCCCCGCCGCCCGGCTTTGGAGCATCGTTCCGAAGCCGGGCGGCGGGGGGAGGTGTTCCCTCCCCGCCGCCCAGCTTTCGAGCATCGTTCCGAAGCCCGGCGGCGGGTGGAGGTGTTCCCGCCCCACCGCCCGGCTTCGGAGGAGCCTTCCGAAGCCCGGCGGCGGGAGGAGGTGTTCCCGCCCCACCACCAGGCTTCGGAGGAGATCCGAGGACAGTGGGGAAGACGCGCTGCGCTTCCCCGCTGTCCCGGAGATTTCCCTATGGGCTGTCGTCTTGCGAAGCAAGCCCATAGGGAAATTCGTTTTGCGAAGCGCCTCCAAAACGGAAAACCCTTTCGTCTAGCGGGTTTTCCGTCTTGCGAGGCGTTCGTCTTGCGGGGCACCACTGTACACATGCTGATGGCAGGGAACGATAAGGAAGGGTTGTAGGTCAATAGGAGGCCTTTGCTTTTATTGCAGAAGATCCCAGGTTCAGTTCCTGGCATCTCCAGGTAGAGCTGGGAATGTCCTCATCTGAAACCAAGAAGAACTGCTGCCAGCCAGTGAAGACAATGCTGAGCTAGATGAACCAATGGTCTGACTCTGTATAAGGCAGTTTCCTATGTTCCTTCCATGTTTCTTATGGTCCTAGCTGTAATTTCATCCACTTTTCAGGAAAGCTTTCAGGAAATGTGTATTGAAACAATGGATAAACCGATGAACAATTTTCAGCGAAATTTTTTTTCTTTCACTGCAAAACTCCATCCTGAAATCAAATCATCACCAGATTTAACTTCGTTATCAACCTGTAAGCTATCAAAGGTTATAAACTGATAGAGGAACAAAGACACCTTATTGTGATGTGTAGTTTAGATGCAATGTTATTTTTGCTTACATTCCACTTAACAAGACACAAACAATATTAACAACGAAGAGCTCTGTGGCTACTTAAAGACCAACAAATTCATTATGGTGAAAGCTTTCATGGATGAACATAGGCTTTCAAAAGGGTGGGGGGAGATAATCACACAGACACTGAACTTGTAGGTGGGCCATTCTCATTATTCCTCTCAAGAATTATGCTGACAGCTTGTTAGCCAGAACTGCAGACGACACATACAGTTTTCCAGCTGCAACACATATCAGCTTTGCTGCAAGCGTGTTAAAAGCCAGGTCTCTTACCGTGAAGTAGAACTGTTCTGTCTCCTGCTGATTTGCCCGTCTCTTGGCAATGCTTGGCTTGCTCATGAAGGTTTCGGAGACTGTTGATTTTACAGACTCCATCGAGTTGCTATACTGGAAGCAGTCAGAGACATCGAAATCCTCAATGGTGACGATATCCTGGATAGTCTGCAGTGTGGCTTCCATTGTTTTCTTAACCTGACAGAGTGAACACAAGAGAGGGATTATAAAGGGGGGGGGAGGGAGAAGAGCGAAGGTGAGAATGCAGAGGAAAATGCCTTGTTATCACTCGGTTTGTCATTTACTGCAACTGAGGGTCTGTGATTCCCAAGCATAACACAACACAGCTAATAAACAAGAACAGGGTCTACAGAGAAAAGTGGCTGAGAGGAGACTGAGGATTTAATCTTATCCACACTTTCAATTAACCTTAAAAGCATAGGTGGAACAAATTCATGAAACTTGGACCAAAACGTACACAACTGTATATCTAACATTTGCTGTTTGGTTGCCTTAAAAAATTGTGCCTGAACTGAAGCTTATGTTTTTATCTTCTCAGCTGCCCTTACTCTCCTCCAACATATTGTCCAGACTATGGTAAAACAGCAAAGGAAAAGACCAATAAAAAATGGAATTTGTTAGCTTACCTCTTCATTTTCGATCTTCAGCGTGGATAGCCTAGACTGCAGCTGCTGACACCTCTGCACTAACTCACTCTGCACGGGCTGCTGGGCACACAGCTGGGACACCTGGAAAAGAAATGGAACTTCTGAAAGTTTCTAGACATTTGATTCTTCAGCTCTGCACATGTATGAGAGGTGTGGACTGGGCCACGGAACAAATGAAGTTCATAGGAGAAACGGCTCAGGACCGCAATATCTCAAGGACTGCAGCTCTCCATATGAACCTACCCAGAACCTGAGATCATCCTTTGAGGCCCTTCTTTGTGTGCCTCCTCCATGAGAGGTCTGGAGGGTGGCAACATGAGAATGGGCCTTTTCTGCAGTGGCTCCCCATTTGTGGAATGCTCTCCCCAAGGAGGTTTGCTTGGTACCCTCATTATACACCTTTAGGCACCAGGTGAAAACATTCCTCTCTAAACAGGCCTTGGGTTGACTTGACACTGAATGCCCTTTTAAATGTGCTGTGGAAGGGGTTTTATTGGTTTGCTTCTGTTCTAAGTTTTGTTATGTATTTTCTATTTTTTATATTGTAATGATATGTTGTGTAAACTGCCCTGAAATCTACAGGTGTAGGGTGGTATACAAAACAAACAAACAAACAAACAAACAAAACATTAGTTCAATGCAGGGGCTTTTCCTTGGGCAATGGAACAATCTCTCCATCTCCTCACCATGTACCTCCCTAAATTCGTTCTGGGTTTTCCTTCAACCCTCCAGAGTAGATTTGGGACTGGCGAGAGGAGATAGGGAGGGAAGTCCTTTTGTGTTAGCATAAATACTTAATGCATACAGCCTATAGCTTTTCTAGGACCAGCATTGACCTGTGAGCAAGGATGAGAGACAGGGTCAAAACTATCCCTAAAAAGGATTGTGGAGATACATGTAACATGTAGGTGAACCCAAAGACTATGCCAGGCTTCCTCAACCTCAGCCCTCCAGATGTTTTGAGACTACAATTCCCATCGTCTCTGACCACTGGTCCTGCTAGCTAGGGATCATGGGAGTTGTAGGCCAAAAACATCTGGAGAGCCGAGGTTGAGGAAGCCTGTACTATGCTGTTTGGTTCAAGCAAGATTTCTACCCATTGTTAACAAAGATAATTAGATATTTAAGCAAATTTACTATATTGTAAGGAAACACAAGGGACAAGGACTCACAAAAAATTCTATCCATACAAAAATTGCAGAGGATGTGATTGGCTTGGGTAGGTTGATGGCTTAATAAACTGAGGTATGAGCCTTTTACCTGTATTCACAGGCCTCTTCTTAATGCCCTTTGCACAAATCATGATCAAACCATGATGAAGTCTTGAATTAAACACAGTTTCCTGTTTTGTCCTAAGTGGGAAAACATGCTTACCAGTTTCAGACAAGCAACAATCTTAAAGCAATTCCAAACCATGGTTTGAAATTCTGCTTCTTACTGAAGCTGGTAACTATAACTTCCCAGTTGGGATGAAATGGTAAACTGTGATTAAATTCCTGGTTTAATCGTAGTTTATAACAAGCAAGGAGAGATGAAGCCAAGATATGATTATCCCAATGTAGTATCTTAATCTTCCGTTCCTTGCTCAAACCTGTTACATTAAGGGTAACTCAATATCTGCATGCTCAAATTTAAAGAAGCAGCCTATTTTTAATTTTTAATTTTAATCCTGAACTTCAACATACATTGTTGGAAGAGAGTTTCTTTCAAGCTTTGATTGCCAGTTAAATCCACTGCTGGATGTGCATCTAGCCCTTGGGCAGATTTCAAAGCAACAAGATGATGCCATAAAAAAGACAAAAATCCAATACAGCTCTATGGGGGGTAAAAATCAATGGAAGGTTCATCATTTGCTCCGACATGTGAACATGTTTCAGAACCACCATAAGCCTCTATTATTGGGACAAATATGGGGGCTGATGGCTACATGAACTACTGTATTTTCAGATTTCACTGAAATATTAGAATACTAGAAAATATTAGGATATTTTACATTTGCTTATAATCTTGAGACACCCAAATTCAAATCTCTACTCAGCCAGGAAGCTCAATGAGTGACTCTGGGCCATCTCTTAGCCTAACCTGTCTCACAGAGTGGTTGTGATGATAAAATGGTGGAGGGAAGAATTATGTATGCCACTATAAACTTGGAGGAAAATTGGAATGTAATTGTAATAATAATCATAAGTTTGGGGTTATAGCAAATACATGAGATTACAATTACCAGAGCAGATATGGAATTTAATGAATTTTATAGTATAAAACAGAACTCTTGATGGTGCCTGCATCACTGAGATATGCTCACTTCCCAATGAATGCAGACATACAACAACAAATTTAACATTAAGTAATAAAGATTTTCTAACACTTTCGTTCTCCATAATAGTGACACCAATCAAGATAGAGATTGTGTCCCTTTGAATAAAGTTGTAACACTCTGCATGGGATCCAATGGCGCTTGCTTCTTCAACAACATGAACTCTAATATATCGCAGCTGTGTGCAACAGCTAAGAAAATTCCATGGATAAGAACACTGAAAAAAGACCTAATGCAAAGCATCTGTGATAACCGTCTCTTGGGAGTAGATACACTAGATGAAGGAAACATGCAATAAATACCAGAGGAATATGCAATGAAATACCAGGCTTCAGTTTTATGGCTCACCATCCAGCGTGCACAATTATCTGCCTTTACAAGGTATCTTGTTATATAGGAGGAGCTCAGGGGAGAGTGGGGGACAAAAATGGATGACTTTGCTATTTTTAGTTGGCACGTTAAATTCAGTGACAGGTTTTACAGAGGATTCTGTTTCCTATGCTATGAATTAGTGGGGAGAAACTCAACTTGGGTGACCCACTGGATATATAATGCCAACAGTCAGAGTTTTACATGCAGATATTAAGGGGGAAAGTCTCAAGAAACAAGAAACTAACTTACCGGTTGGGACGAAACATGCTGATATCCACCTTTGAATTACCCTAACTCTTGTATCTTTTCAGTAGGGCACAAAGACACCTTTTTCCCTGGTGGCTTTTAATAGTTAATATAAACTGGGGTTATAAATTGGGGCTATTGTGCTATGGTCTGTAGTTTATCTCAGTGATGGATTTTATTTTATTTTATTTTTTGCTTTAGTATTACTATGAAATTGATATTTTAAAAGTTTTTTATATTGTACTTGTATTTGTATTTTTGTAAATACAAAAAGTGGCCTATAAATCCATTAAATAAATAATAAATCACAGCCATTTTCCAGCATTTGAACAACAGCGATCACCATGAGGAGACAGATTCACAAGACAATAGTTGTACAAGTTAGGTCTTAGAGAAGCGAAAGAGTCTCTTATGAAGGAAGGAGACCAGCTTGAAGACGATATTATTAGAGCAACCAGCATAGAAAACATATAACTAAATAAATTAATGGTACTACTGAGTTTTCCAAGAGAGCCACCAAATAGTCAGATATGCAATGAAATACCAACCTTCACTTTTATGGTTTACAATTCAGTGAGCGATTCCTGTACATACTACATAGTAATGACATTGAGCTTCAACTCTCTTATTTATCATGGTGCTAGGAAATACTGACAATCTCTACAGTAAATTATTTCCCCAATTAATTTTATTCTAAGGGTGAAGCAATTGGATCACTTCTTTTCTAAGAAGCCATCATTATTACAAATGAGAAGATACCACAAACTGATACTACAAATTCACTTTCTCTTCTTACCCATTAAGATATATGTTGCTTAAATTCGGACATTCTTCCAGAATTTGATGCCCAGGCCGAAGGCCAAGATGTCAAGTCACTGACCAACTCAAGACAATTTACTTGATTCCCTCCACAGTCCTTACTGTGACTGGACTGGAAATTCCATTAAATGCTTATTTATGAAAAAGAATAAAACTAACCATGTCTCCCATGTGCGGCTGAAACTCAAACTTCATGGGTGGGCAGAAGACATTGTTACACATCTCCATGAGGCGCTGCTTGTCGCTGTTGGCATCCAAGTTCTCCACAGCATTCTCAATGGCATCCAGGCCCTCGTGCTTTGATTGTTCTAAGTTCAGCTCTGCTGACAGGAATGTCCTGAGTGCCCTACCGAGGCTGGCATGATATCCCAGGTCACAGCACTGCTGGAAAATAAAAATAAAAAAAGAAAGGCCATCTGAAACTCAAGAAGCTCTATAGGGCACAGAGGTTATAATTTATCAATGTTTTTACATGCATTACTCAACACGTTGATTTTGGTCTCAGAAGGTCCAATCCGCTAGACAAGAAACATGAAACTGATGTCCAGAGCTGAGTTATGTTTGTACTAAAAGCTTAAAATCTTGTTTAATAGTTACACCATGTTTAAAAGTTACACCATGCAGCCAATTTTGGATTGTATCAAATTTTCTCATGTAATTGAGCACGTCTTAAACTGGCAACATGGGTTTCTGCGGCTGCTTATCAGGTAGAATCAATGAAATGGACCCAGCTCAATTAAACAATCTAGAACTCTCTGCTTAATATTGATCTGCCTTACCAAGCCTAACTCACGCTTGCAGATGTACTCCAGCATTCTGGATTGGTACCATTGTGTGTGTTTCTCTCCTGCTCTCTAGTCTTTCAGACTCACTCCCTCTCTGGTTGTTGGTCGTGACTGCTGGGTAATTATGCTCATCTTGCAACTCTGATCTGTTAAGCCTGGGTGACCTGATTTACCAGCTCCTGCTCATATCCTAGCTCATGGGTAGGCAAACTAAGGCCCAGGGGCTGTATCCGGCCCAATTGCCTTCTAAATCCAGTCCATGGATGGTCCGGAAATCAATGTGTTTTTACATGAGTAGAATGTGTCCTTTTATTTAAACTGCATCTCTGGGTTATTTGTGGTGCATAGGAATTCGTTCATTATTTTTTTCAAAATATAGTGCGGCCCACCACAAAGTATGAGGGACAGGGGACCGGCCCCCTGCTGAAAAAGTTTGCTGACCCCTGTTAGCTGGATTGCTGCTGTTTCTTTTCCCAAATGCCAGAAAGCAATATGGGCTTAGGCTCCTCTTTCAGTAAACTGTACTTGTTGGGGACAATGGAGAAAGGTCTCTGAAGAGGATCTTAAGTAAGCGCTGCAAGAGAATGGACCTTCCAAGAGGCAATGACCAAGCTTTGCAACGTCCTTGGACATATTTGCCTGACACCAATTTTGTTAACTTTCAGTTACTAAAGTCCACATGCCTTTAATGATATCTATTTGGGGACTCCATTGAATTGTTTTCAATACCTTGTTTCTACTGTTCTATCCAGGAGTACCAACTTCAATAAAATTGGGGGGGGGAGCCCCACCCTGCATAATCAATCACATGACACAGTGCATACAAACCATTTGAATGGCAATGTCCATCAACTTGGGGGGAGGTGGCCCCCTCAAATATTTATTGGGGGGTGAAGGCCCCTCAGCCCCTAGGAGTTTGCTCCTGTGGTTCTACCCACTGCTTTGGGATGTATGAGATGTTGGGGGAGGGATATTGCTCTTTCTGGGGTAGTTTGACCACCTTTCCCCACCCTGTACTTAGCTCACACCTGTGGCTCCTAAAAGCTGTCAGCATGTGACAGCACCCACACCCAGGGAATAGCTTTGGCTGGCTTGCTAAACCCGGTGTGGATAGCCAATGGGTCTCAAACCCTTGGTGTGTTGAGGACTTCCATTGCATGTGAAGACAGGCTCCAGCGGATTGAGTGGATGAGACCAATCGCAGTCAAAAAGGTGGTTTCTGTATGTGCTGTATGTAGAAGGAAGTGAGGGGCAGATGGGGTTCATCAACCCGGGAAGGTAGCCCATCTAGGAGAAGGAAAACTCTGGTCCTCCACTGCCTTGAGGGACATCTTTGGGAGAAGAAAAGGCTAAGGAGCAAACCCTACACAAATCAGGTGTGGAGTCCTTAAGATGGTTAGATGGCACCTTGTATGACTCCTTCCAGAAACTCCTGCAGCCAAGCTGGTGCCAAACCTCTGCTTTCCTTTGGACCACATGAGGGAGGCTGAGGGGGGGTGGTCCTCATCGTCTGGGCAGCCCTAGGCCTCCATATCCACTGCCCAGGCTTGAGTCCTGGGGAGATCACTTCGCTGCTGCTAACACAGCAGTTTGACTTCGCCCCTGGAGGCACATCTGTCCCTTGAGACGGACAGATGCCAACAACAACATTCAATTACTTTTATTGTTAGCTTATCTTACTCCTGTACTTTATTGTGTGAAGGGTAGGAATGAAATATATGAAACAAATACTAAAAATTTCACTCAGATTTTACAGATCAAAAGAAAGAAAGTGAAGAAAAACTTTAAAAAGGAATCCCTTTAGTCAAGCTCTTGCCGCACTTCTGACAACTTTAGCATATTGTTCATGAAAGCCAATCTGCTATCCAAACCAAATCATATTACTTATGGGGGGAAAGCTCCTGCCATTTCTTCGTCAGAAGCAGATTTGATTCTCCCACCCTCTTAAAAGAAATCAGTAGACCAAAATAAAAAAAGAGAGAGCGTGAGCAAAAATTAAATATGCTAGGAAGCCATCCAAAAGGAGGAAGAGCCCATCTGCTTGATGGATGCCCTCCTTCTCTGGAACTGAAATCAATAGACTCTCCTCCTCCTGCATAATTATTTGGGGCATGGGAGAGGCAAGGCCTGAAAATAAATGGGAGAAAAAGAAGGGGAGGACGGAAAAGGGGAAAGGGAAGGAAAGAGCTGCAACCCGAGCCACCTTCCAACGCTTTTGAAACAAGTCTTGCCATGGCCTGCCACAAGATGCCTGGGTACAGTGCCAAGAGGCTGTGGAGTGTGGCAGGTGTCGAGCTCTTATAAAGCAGCAGCAGCAGTTGCTGGCTTTACTGGAAGCGCACAATGGAAGGACGTTCAATTCAATCAAGATGCACAAAGACCAAGCACAAAAACAAAAGCAGCTTGATTGAGAATTTGCACATGCAGAGGGTGGCTCATTGGGTAAAAAAGCCGTTCAAGCAGTTGCAGCTTTGCTGTCGCACTAAAAGTCCATGTTTTACAAAGCGCAACTGGAGGGAAAGCGGCTTCGAGTGAGAATTAGAACCCTCTTAAGAGGTCAAAACTTAAGAGAAGCACATGGGTCAATCTACTATGAATCTCCCATTGTGGATGGATCCCCCTTGGATGCAGTTGGCAAAATACATCCACAGTATTTGGATTTATCTTTATAAGGAAGACCAGATAGTCAGTCTCTCTCTCTCTCTCTCTCTCTCTCTCTCTCTCTCTCTCTCTCTCTCTGTGTGTGTGTGTGTGTGTACCTGGGTGCATGTCTCCATCCACAGAATGAAAGAGGAAAACAGTTATTAATATTTTATAAGCCACTTCCATACGAAATCTGGAGGATTATATTAAGACAACAGCAATGTTTTCCATCTTTATAGCAACTGTTGGCAGTAAACATTTTTCAGCACTCCTTCCCCATCCATAACATTTACAAATGTGCAAAATAACATATTTATAAGTGTGTCTGTCTCACTGGACTTTTCTAGGTTATATAAATGTTTGATGGAAACGTTCTCCAAGGAAATCAATGTTTTATAAGAATTTAATGATAGCTCATCCAAATTCACTTCTCAGCGTGACAGCTGATTAACCCATTACTAGCTAGGAGACTTAAAAGTGCTAACCTGGAAGGCCAAAGGCCAAGAAAATACTCTGCACTTCAAAATTCAATTCAGAATACTCCATAGCTGGTCACTAGGGAAAAAATGCTGAAGAGAGGGGCCATAATGAGTATAAACGCAGCAGTGCTAGATACTGTGAATGGCTAAAATAAATCAGTACTAGGAAGATCTCGATTTGTGTATTCTATTTTTTACCAGTAGTTCTTAAGCATCACTGATGGGAGGAATACTCTTCAGGTTTGCTTGTTTTCTGCAGGTAAGCTTCTATTCTTTCCTTACCACCACCAGACAGGAGGATGCCTGAACAATTATGCAAATTAAATCTTAATGGCTGCATTTGTCTTCTGTGGCAGTCAGCCAATAAACTATGCAGGGGAGTCATGCACACCCCTCCACTGCAGTTGCTTCCTGGGCTAAAGAGACCAGCCTCTCCATCCACTGCAGTGCCACAGACTGGATGAATATCATTCTATCTCCTTGCTCATCAGGTTGATAATGGAGCAAGGGAGGGTTAAAGAATGAGTTAATTCTCCATAAGTTGGTACAAAAACTGTTTTTCTTCAAGATGCAGTTGCAGAGTACTCATGACTGTCTTATTTCTGTTGCTGTGCAGAATGATGGCTGTGTTGGATCAGAAGCTCCAATTTACAGCATTCTGAGGGTGTGAAGAATTTTGGTGGTGAATTGTGTAGAAGAATTGTTGGAGACAGAACTGGAAAGACTTGCAAAGCAGAAACAGAAGGCTGAAGTTGCAGGACTTTGGCAACTTCGAACTTTTTGAACTTGCTGAGAACTTTAAGCAAGGACTCTGAAAGTTGAAAACCCTCTCTGGGCTCAGAGAGAGAAGCGTTCCTGAAGCAACTGTGTATAGTTTGTGTGTATAGTGTGTTTTGTGTTTACTAAGTAAAACAACCTCTGCTACACTTTGTCTGCTGTGGGAAGTTTAATTGCATTGCTGAACTTCTAACTGTGCATCGTCACCCAAAAGGTTATTACGTACAAACATCCAACAGAGAGCAATCTGCATCTGTAGCCATGATCACCTCCCATCATCCCTGGCTATGCTGTTTGGGGCTAATGGGAGTTGTAGTCCAGAAACATCTGGAGGGCCACAGATTGTGTACCCCTGATCTAGATGAACACTGGCTGGTACTCTGCATTTCCTCAACCTATTCACACCATATTGGGTAGGTGGGGTCTGGGCTTTGGTGGGCCACCAGTGAAGCTTGGAGGGCAACCTCTGCTTCAAAACAGGAATTTTAAGCACCCAATCAGATCGGGATACAAATCTGGGGTCTCAGTAGGCTGGATCCAGACTGAAGGTAGCCACACCTGCTGTAAATGGTACTAAATAGTAATAGTCATTATAAAGCAATAAAATGCCCAGTGCATTTGGCTGATGACAACTTTCCTCAAAGGGCATTGATAGCACATATAAATAAATAAAAGAGCCATAATTCAGATAATTATAAAC